ATTTCCAAACTACAAATTCTATGCATTATATTCAGACTACACATTGCCCTCAGACATGATAACTCCACTGCCTCCACCCTTCTCCTCATGGCAACATTCATCACCAATTCTTCACACACACATAAGAGTGTTGGTATAACTATACTCTCACACATTCCCCCTTTGCTTCCACGGACAAAGCTTTTTGTCTCTACAGACTCCGAAGTGCACCACTCACCCTTTTCCCTTCATCAGTTCTATGATTCACCTCATCCTTCATATACCCATCTACTCTACATGTCCACTCCCAAATATCTGAATACATTCACCTCCTCCATACTCTCTCTCTTCAATCTGATATCCAATCTTTTGTCACCTAATCTTTTTCTCATCCTCATCACCTTACTCTTTTTCTACATTCACTTTTAAATTTCTTCTTTTACATACTCTACCAAATTCATCAACCAACCTCTACAACTTCTCTTCAGAATTTCCTAAAAGCACAGTATCATCAGCAAAGAGCAACTGTGGCAACTCTCACTTTGTGTTTGATTCTTTATCTTTTAACTCCACACCTCTTGCCAAGACCCTCGCATTCACATCTCTTACAACTTCATCTATAAATATATTAAACAACCATGGTGACATCACACATCCTTGTTTAAGAACTACTTTTACTGGGAAATAATCTCCCTCTCTTCTACGTACTCTAACCTGAGCCTCACTATCCTCGTAAAAGCTCTTCACTGCTTTCAGTAACCTACCTCCTATACCATACACCTGCAACATCAGCCACTTTGCCCCCTATCCACCCTGTCATATGCCTTTTCCAAATCCATGAATGCCACAAAAACCTCTTTAGCCTTATCTAAATACTGTTCACCTTAATGTTTCACTGTAAACACTTGGTCTACACACCCCCTACCTTTCCTAAAGCCTCCTTGTTCATCTGCTATCCTACTCTCCATCTTAATTCTTTCAATTATAGCTCTACCATACACAAAACTCTCTTTTGTCCCCTTTGCCTTTATACACAGGAATCATACATGCTCTCTGCCAATCGCTAGGTACCTTACCCTCTTTTATACATTTATTAAATAATAGCACCAACCACTCCAAAACTATATTCCCACCTGCTTTTAACATTTCTATCTTCATCCCATCAATCCCAGCTGCCTTACCCCCTTCCCTCCTACCCACTGCCTCACGAACCTCCTCCACACTCACAACTGGCTCTTCCTAACTCCTACAAGGTATTATTCCTCCTTGCCCTATACACGAAATCACAGCTTCCCTATCTTCATCAACATTTAACAATTCCTCAAAATATTCCCTCCATTTTCCCAATACCTCTAACTCTCCATTTAGTAACTCTGATCTCCTATTTTTAACTGTCAAATCCATTTGTTCCCTAGGGTTCCTCAACTCATTAATCTCACGCCAAAACTTTTTCTTATTTTCAACAAAATTTGTTGATAACATCTCACTCACTCTCTTGTTTGCTCTCTTTTTACACTGCTTGACCACTCTCTTAACCTCTCTTTTTCTCTCCATATACTCTTCCCTCCTTGCATCACTTCTACTTTGTGAAAACCTCTCATATGCTAATATTTTCTCCCTTACTACTCTCTTATCATCATCATTCCACCAATCGCTCTTCTTCCCTCCCACACCCACTCTCCTGTAACCACAAACTTCTGCTGAACAACACTACATTCTTAAACCTACCCTATACATCTTCGACCCCACTGACTGTACTCTCACTAGCCCATGTATCTTTCAATAGTTGTTTATGTCTTACCCTAACTGCCTCCACTTTTAGTTTATACATCTTCACCTCTCTCTTGCTGCTTCTATTTTCCTTGTATCCCACCTCCCTTTTACTCTTACTGTAGCTACAACTAAAAAGTGATCTGATATATCTGTGGCCCCTCTATAAACATGTACATCCTGAAGTCTACTCAACAGAGTTTTATCTACCAATACATAGTCCAACAAACTACCGTCATTATGTCCTACATCATATCTTGTATACTTATTTATCCTCTTTTTCTTAGAATATGTATAACCTATAACTAAACGCCTTTCTATACAAAGTTCAATCAAAGGGCTCCCATTATCATTTACACCTACCACACCCTCTCTAAATGTTTCTCCTACTTTAGCATTTAGGTTCCCTACCACAATTACTCTCTCACTTGGTTCAAAGGTTCCTATACATTCGCTTAACATCTCCTGAAATCTCTCTCTCTCTCTCCTCTATACTCCTCTCTTCTCCCAGAGCATACATGCTTATTATGACCCACTTTTCACATCTGACCCTTATTTTAATCCACATAATCCTTGAATTTACACATTTATATTCCCTCTTCTCCTTCCATAACTGATCCTTCAATGTTATTGCTACCCTTTCCTTAGCTCTAACTCTCACGGATACTCCTGGCTTAATCGCATTTATTTCTCCCCACTGAAACTCGCCTACCCCCTGCAGCTTTGTTTCGCTTAGGGCCAGGACATCCAACTTCTTTTCATTCATAACATCAGCAATCATCTCTTTCTTATCATCAGCACTACATCCACGCACATTCAAGTATCCCAGATTTATATAGCATTTCTTTTTCCCTTTTTTAGTAAATGTATACAGGAGAAGGGGTTACTAGCCCATTGCTCCTGGCATTTTAGTCGCCTCATACGACATGCATGGCTTACGGAGGAAAGATTCTTTTCCACTTCCCCATGAACAGTAGAGGAAATAAAGAAGAACAAGAGCTATTACGAAAAAGAAGAAAAACCTAGACGTGTGTATGTATATGCATGTGCATGCCTGTGTAATGTGACCTAAGTGTAAGTAGAAGTAGCAGGATATACCTGTTATCCAGCATGTTTATGAGACAGAAAAAAAAAAGAGACCAGCAATCCTACCATCATGTAAAACAGTTACAGGTTTCTGTCTCACAGTCACCTAGCAGGATGGTAGTACCTCCCTGGGTTGTTGCTGTCTACCAACCTACTACCTTATAAGTAGAAAAAATGATGTACAGTGGACCCTTGGGTAACAACGTCATCGGATAACAAAAAAATCGGATAGTGACACGTTTTTGCATCAAAATATTAGCTCGGTTACCGAAAAAGAACTTGGTTAAGGACATTCGTCCCGAACATGCCAGTGCGGCACGAGTGGCTTGGACACTCCATGTACAGCCAGTGTGTCATTGTTTACAAGCCAGTGAGGACGATTCCACACGTACATGCGATATATTTTGTATTATTCCATTGTTTGTAGTACTTGTAACTGCTAAATAAGCCAATATGGGTCCAAAGAAAGCTTCTATTGCCAGCCCTGTGGTAAAGAGGGTGAGAAGCCTCATAGAATTCAAGAAAAAGTTTGTAGAAAGATACAAAAATGGTAGTGGTAGAGGGTGGTGGTATGGGTCAACAGGTCTGCTGCAGTGTTTCTGCTTTCTTATGTACACCAGCGAGAGTACTTCCCACACACCAGCCAGGGAATTTCCCCACATACCAGCCAGGGTACTTCCCCACATACCAGCCAGGATACTTCCCACACACCAGCCAGGGAACTTCCCCACATACCAGCCAGGGTACTTTCCCACATACCAGACAGGGTACTTCCCCACACACACACGATTTGATTTGATAGGGACTTGTGCATGAGTGAATAGAATTATCAAAGCTTATTGCTTGAGAAGCACTGAAGATTGGGTTGGCCAAAAACGATTGTTAGTAGGATGGTTTGTGAAGGACTTGCCTAGTATGGGCCAACAGGCCTACTGCAGTGTTCCTGCTTTCTTATGTGCAAACATTTATGGATGAACATCACCCTGACACAGCTATTGCAGGCCGTGTTGGCAACATCTACAATGACAAAGTTGTGTCTCATTTTAGAGAAATCTTAAAAAGATGCCAGAAACAGAGCTCCCTGGACAGATTTCTGGTGTGACAGGGGTCCAGTGACTCTCAAGCTGGTCCTAGTGGCATTAAAAAACAAAGAAGGGAGGTAACCCTAGAAAAGGACTTGTTACCTGAAGTCTTTATGAAAGGGGATTCCCCTTCCAAACAATTGTAAACTTCTCCATCCTCTGCCCTCTTCCCATCTCATCGCTCATCAATACATCTTCAATAAATGTAAGTGTCATTTCAGTATTGTTTATTCAGCATGTCTCATTGTTTTTTGTGTAGGGAAATGTATATTTCATGTAAAAAAATTATTTTGTTTAATACTTTTGAGTGTCTGGAACAGATTAATTGGATTTCCATTATTTCTTATGGGGAAAATTAATTCGGATAAAGAAAAAATCGTTTCAAGACAAGCTCTCTGGAACGGATTAATGTTGTTACCCGAGGGTCCATTGTATTGCTTTCCAGTGATGTCCGCTTTCCGGCAGTAGCATGGAACCTACTGTATATACAAATACTAAGAATTTATATGATTTAGAAAGCCAGGGTGGTGAAAGCTATAATGTTAAATTTTACTGTCATAAGACAGGTACTGCCAAGAGGTACAGTAGAAAGACACTAAGGACAGAGCACAACTTTCTTACAAATTGTTTCACCCATAAAACGAGCTTTTGTCAAATCATGATTTGATAAAGCCCACTGTGTGAGTCAAGCCATTGTCTATAATAGGTTTCGTCTGCACCAAGTGTTGGGATTTTAAGCAGGGAGCTTGGCCCCTGATTACTGGCAGTGGGGTTAAGAGCAGAGAATAGGGTTGAAGACTGGACTGGGGGAGTCCATGATTGGGAGGAATAAGAAAAACAGGGAGTTATGGATAGAAGCCAAGTTTGGGGAGGGTTAGTTGAGAGGAAAAGCAGTGCTGGTGGAGAGATGAGTAGATGGGTGAGAGCATAGACAGGGAGGAGAAATGATGAATTATCTTCATCTATCTACCTGTCCCCTTTTCCTTGTTTCTGACCTTAAAAACTACCTGTGTAAACATTCATGAGTGTATCATGCATACACAAATTTTTACATATTTAATGAATAAACAGAACATTATTCACCTTCTGGTGCAAGAACAGCATCAGTAAACTGTTTAAGAGGGGTGGTAATGTCAACAAAGTCTTCTACAACACGATCAACAACAGCAGTCTGGATTTTGTCCTTTAGATCTTGCAGTTTTGTTGAGAGTGCCCTGGAAAGAAATGAAGTATATAAAGTAGTTATTAACATTACCAAACAAGTAAAGACAGGAATTATATGTTATTAGTGTGAATAAACTTGGTAATATATATTATTTTGGCTTGAATACAGAGATACCATCCACATGCTCCAGACAAAAAACTAATACAACTGTCAACTTCAAGTTAATCTTTTCAGTAAGGCTATTATTCAGGGAGTTGACACAGTTACTATTTGCTGATGATACTGTGCTTATAGGAGATTCTAAAGAAAAATTGCTAAGGTTAGTAGACGAGTTTGGGAGTGTGTAAAGGTAGAAAGTTGAAAGTGAACATAGAAAAGAGTAAGGTGATGAGGGTATCAAATGATTTAGATAAAGAAAAACTGGATATCAAACTGGGGAGGAGGAGAATGGAAGAAGTGAATGTTTTCAGATACTATTTGGGAGTTGACGTGTCAGTGGATGGATTTATGAAGGATGAGGCTAATCATAGAATTGATGAAGAAAAAAAGGCTAGTGGTGAGTTGAGGTATATGTGGAGACAAAAAACGTTATCTATGGAGGCAAAGAAGGGAATGCATGAAAGTACAGTAATACCACCACTCTTATACGGGTGTGAAGCTTGGGTTGTAAATGCTGCAGCGAGGAGTCGGTTGGAGGCAGTATCTCTGTCTAAGGGCAATATAGGTGTAAATATTATACAGAAAATTTGGAGTGTGGATATTAGGAGAAGGTGTGGAGTTAATAAAAGTATTAGTCAGAGGGCTGAAGAGGGAATGTTGAGGTGGTTTGGTCATTTAGAGAGAATGGATCAAAGTAGAATGACATGTAGGGAAAGAAAGGCGGGGTAGGGGTCGTCCTCGAAAAGGTTGGAGAGAGGGGGTAAAGGAGGTTTTGTGGGTGAGCGTGCGTGAGCATGTTAGATAGGTGTGAATGGAAACGAATGGTATTTGGGACCTGACGAGCTGTTGGAGTGTGAGCAGGGTAATATCTAGTGAAGGGATTCAGGGAAACCGGTTATTTATATATAGCCGGACTTGAGTCCTGGAAATGGGAAGCACAATGTCTGCACTTTAAAGGAGTGGTTTGGGATATTGCAGTTTGGAGGGATGTGTTGTGAATCTTTTACGTATATGCTTCTAAACTGTGGTGTTCTGAGCACCTCTGCAAAAACAGTGATTATGTGTTAGTGAGGTGAAAGTGCTGAATGATGATGAAAGTATTTCCTTTTTGGGGATTTTCTTTCTTTTTTGGGTCACACTGCCTCAGTGGGAGATGGCCGACTTGTTGAAAAAAAAAATAATAATACTGGATGGATGTCCTGGCTTTAAGCGAAACAAAGCTGAAGGGGGTGGGAGAGTTTCAGTGGAGAGGAATAAATGGGATTAGATCAGGGGTTTCAAATAGAGTTAGAGCTAAAGGAGTAGCAATAATGTTGAAGGATAAGCTATGGCAGGAAAAGAGGGACTATAAATGTATTAATTCAAGGATTATGTGGACTAAAACAAAGGTTGGATGTAAAAAGTGGGTTATAGTAAGCATATATGCACCTGGAGAAGAGAGAAGTGTAGAGGAGAGAGAGACATTTTGGAAAATGTTGAGTGAATGCATGGGGAGTTTTGAACCAAGTGTGTGAGTACTTGTGGTTGGAGATTTCAATGCTAAAGTGGGTAAAAATATTGTGGAGGGAGTAGTAGGTAAATCTGGGGTGCCAGGGGTAAATGAAAATGGGGAGTCTTTACTTGAGCTATGTGTAGAAAGAGGTTTGGTAATAAGTAATACATATTTTATGAAAAAGAGGATAAATAAATATACAAGGTATGATATAGCATGTAATGAAAGTAGTTTGTTAGATTATGTTTTTTTTTTTTTTTTTTTCAACAAGTTGGTCGTCTCCCACTGAGGCAGGGTGACCCAAAAAAAGAAAGAAAATCCCCAAAAAGAAAATACTTTCATCATCATTCAACACTTTCACCACACTCACACATTATCACTGCTTTTGCAGAGGTGCTCAGAATATAACAGTTTAGAAGCATATACGTATAGAGATACACAACATATCCCTCCAAACTGCCAATATCCCAAACCCCTCCTTTAAAGTGCAGGCATTGTACTTCCCATTTCCAGGACTCAAGTCTGACTATATGAAAATAACCGGTTTCCCTGAATCCCTTCACTAAATATTACCCTGCTCACACTCCAACAGATCGTCAGGTCCCAAGTATCATTCGTCGCCATTCACTCCTATCTAACACGCTCATGCACGCTTGCTGGAAGTCCAAGCCCCTCACCCACAAAACCTCCTTTACCCCCCTCTTTCCAACCCTTTCGAGGATGACCCCTACCCCTCTTTCCTTCCCCTATAGATTTATATGCTTTCCATGTCATTCTACTTTGATCCATTCTCTCTAAATGACCAAACCACCTCAACAACCCCTCTTCTGCCCTCTGACTAATGCTTTTATTAACTCCACACCTTCTCCTAATTTCCACACTCCGAATTTTCTGCATAATATTTACACCACACATTGCCCTTAGACAGGACATCTCCACTGCCTCCAACCGTCTCCTCGCTGCTGCATTTACCACCCAAGCTTCACATCCATATAAGAGTGTTGGTACTACTATACTTTCATACATTCCCTTCTTTGCCTCCATAGATAACGTTTTTTGACCCCACATATACCTCAACGCCCCATCCCCTTTTTCTCCCTCTAAATTCTAGATTAACCTACCCTTTCAAAAAATCCACCCGCCGCAGTCAACTCCCAATTTCTGAAAACTTTCATTCTTCCTACCCCTCCCCCCCAATTTGATACCCCAAATTTTTCTTTACTTCATTTGATACCCTCATCACCTTACCTTTTTAGTTCACTTAAAACTTTCTCCTTTAAACATTCTCAAACTCACCCTAACCTTTGCAATTTTTCTTTAGAATCTCCCAAAAAGCCAGTATATCAGCAAAAAAGTAATGTGCAATTCCTTTTGAATTTTTTCCCCCAAAATTTTAATCCCACCCCTCCCCGAAAACCCAGCATTTACTTCTTTTACAACCCCATTAAAAATAATTAAACAACAGGGGGGACATTAACATCCCTGTCTAAGCCCTACTTTAGGGGGAAGTATTTCCCCCTCTTTCTACACACCCTAAACCTGAGCCTCACTATCCTCAAAAAAAGCTCTTTGCATTTAGAAACTTACCACCTATTCCATATACTTGCAACATCTCCCACTTGTCCTCTTTCCACTCTATCATATCCTTTTTCTAAAATCCATAAATGCAAAAAAACCCCTCCCTTTATCTAAATATGTTAGATTATTATTGGGGGATAAAAGGGTTTGATAGGTAAGTTTGGGGATGAAACGTTAAAAAGGGGGGGCAACTGATATATCGCTTTATCAAATTGTAGTACGAAAGGTAAGGGGTAGATGGGCAAGGGAAAATGCAAAAAGAATAAGAGGGAGGTAAAGTGTAAAAACAAGGGGGGGAAAAATTTGGGGTGAGTAAAAGAACTTTTGGCAGAAAGGGGGGCTGGGCAAGTATGAGTAGGGGGGGGGTTTGAAGAGGGTTTGAATGTTTTAAAAATGCAGTAGTAGAAGAGGGCAAATTTTTTTGGTTAAGGGGGGTGGGTGCAGGAGGGGAAAGAGGGGTGATTGAGGAAGATGAAGTAAAGGGTGTGTAAAAAGAAAAAAAAGGGAGCTCATGAAGGTTTTTTCAAAGCAGAAGTGTTATAAGAAGAGTAGAGTATACGGAGGTAAAAGAAAGGTAAGAGAGGGTGAGAGAGTGCAAAAGGAGAGCGATGATAGAGTGGGAGAGGAACTGTCAAGAAATTTTAATGAAAAAAAGAAAAAAATTTTTTGGGGTCAAACAAGTTAAAAAGCCAAGGGGGAAAAAATCGATTTTTCAGTTTAAAAAAAGAGTGGGGAATTAGTAGATGGGGGTGGAGGTATTGGGTAGTGGGCAAGAATACTTTGAGGAACTTATAAAAAGTCGTGAAGAAAGGGAGGCGGTAATTTCAGCACTGGCCGGGAGGTATACCATTTTTAAGAGGAAGAAGAGCAGGATGTAAGGGGGGGAGAGGTGTGGAAGCTTATGTAGAAAGGGAAAGGGGAAACACTGGACCTGCCAGGTATGAAAGAAATGTTAAAAGCAGGGGAATATAGTCTGGGTGTTGGCATTTTTGTTTAATAAATGTATGAAAGAGGGGAAAGGTACCCAAGGATGGGGGAGGCATGTTAGCCCCTTTTTATAAAGGGAAGGGACAAAAGGATTTTAAAAAATTACAGAGGAAATTTGTTTCTGAGTATACCGGAAAAGTGTACGGGAGGGGTTTTTATTGAAAAAATTAGAGGTAAACAGAATGTACGATTGCGGATGGCAAAGGGCTTTTAGGTGGGTGGGGGTGTGTAGATGAGGGATTTACTGGAAGCATATTGTGAACGTATTTGAAAGGGGGAAATTTTTATTGCATTTTTTGGATTTAGAAAAGGCATATGATAGAGTGGATAGGGGAGCAATGTGGCAGATGTTGCAAGTATATGGAATAGGTGGTAAGTTACTAAATGCTGTAAAGAATTTTTATGAGGATAGTGAGGCTCAGGTTAGGGTGTGTAGAAGAGAGGGAAACTACTTCCCAGTAAAAGTAGGTCTTAGACAGGGATGTGTAATGTCACCATGGTTGTTTAATATACAGCGGACCCCCGCTTAACGATCACCTCCCAATGCGACCAATTATGTAAGTGTATTTATGTAAGTGCGTTTGTACGTGTATGTTTGGGGGTCTGAAATGGACTAATCTACTTCACAATATTCCTTATGGGAACAAATTCGGTCAGTACTGGCACCTGAACATACTTCTGGAATGAAAAAATATCGTTAACAGGGGGTCCACTGTATTTATAGATGGGGTTGTAAAAGAAGTAAATGCTAGGGTGTTCGAGAGAGGGGTAGGATTAAATTATGGGGAATCCAATACAAAATAGTAAGTGACAGTTTCTTTTTGCTGATGATA